GAATGTTATATTCAATTTGGAAACACAACATCTAAAGCAAAAAATTCTGAATTTTAATTGTGATGTAAATCAAGGGGTAGATCACTCCACACACCAATCTTGGGTCATATTATAGTGTGCCGCAGGTGTATCGATTGTGCCGGTCGTAGAACAAGCTGCGATTTTTTGTAAAATACCCATCCCGGCGACACGGTATTTCTGACACCTTGAATATTTTGGTTTGAAATCACAAGGATAAATCGGATTGAGGATAACGCAGGAAGTGGCGGGTGTGTGAAATTTTGATGTTTTGTGTTCATCGGATAATAAAAGTCCTATGCTTTAGGGTTTTATAATGCCCTTAAAGGCAGATAAGAAACCTAGCCTTTCGTGATGTGGAAAGCAACGGTTTATCAGCGACCGAAAAGAGTTGGAACCGGTGCCGAAGGTGTGCCAATGGATGTGGCCAAGCTGTGCCGAAACTAATTTCGGCACAATGTGCTGAGCGACTTACCCCTTGGATGTAAATATTCATTCACGTAAACTTGTATTTCATTTCACGCAAACGAGCAACTTGTAAGCAATGTTATTTACAAATAGTCTCAGAACTGTGCACGGTTTATAATGTAAACTTATATGATATGTGACGCTCCTTTTATGTGCATCATATTGAGCAAATACATATTGCATACACACCTACGTGTTCAGTTAACAGGTTTATAATTCAAAATAATAACATCAGTGTAGAAGTATGTTCCTAAGCAATCGAAGCTTTTGTTCTTCTTTCTGCATAACACAATTGTTAATCAGAGTTGGTTGGAAATGCTAACATGAAGCTTTAGTGTGATGATTTATTAGCTAGAGAATGATCTTTAGAAGAGTGTAGGTGGATAGTTCCGTTAGAGTACGGCAGTATGAAAATTGAATAGAAGTTGAAAATGAGCGAAGGGCCATTAAAGCGACAGTTTTCAAGATAGACGCACATTTTTGCCTAGCCCGTACGATGTACGCGGGGACTTGAAGTATGTCTCCAAGTCCACAGGCAAAAATGTGCGTCCCTCTTGTTGCTCATAAACTGACTGCGGCTGTGGAATAGTTCTACCGACGTTTTCATCACTACCTAAAGCCCCACGTCGCGAGAGCATTTCCAGTCGATGGTGTGTTATAATGCAGTTCTTCTTTACCCAACTATTGTGTTGCTCCTCTCGTCATGACCAACGTGATCATCTCAGAGAGAAAGCAGTAGGGTGGTTGTTGCGTGCTGTACCATCATCAGCATTGTTGACGGCTACTCCCGCCTTGAGTTGTTACATTCAAAGTGTTTTTTATGTTACTTCATACGCGAAGTTAACGATTTTCAGAGTTGGTTGGAAATGCTAACATGAAGCTTTAGTGTGATGATTTATTAGCTAGAGAATGATCTTTAGAAGAGTGTAGGTGGATAGTTCCGTTAGAGTACGGCAGTATGAAAATTGAATAGAAGTTGAAAATGAGCGAAGGGCCATTAAAGCGACAGTTGTTAATGTAGCCTAACTTTCACAAAAGATCCTACTCTGATTTTTCATTGTACACACTTAGAAAAAATCAAGTAAATTTATGTGCTCTGAGCGTTACATATACGAACGTCAATTTTGACATAAATTCGAGTCATAACAGACGCGAAATATAGCTCAATCAAACCTACTTTTCATCTCGGATCATTAAGTGATCTTTTACGTCAAAGACGGATTCCGCAACTACTAAAATTAGTTATTTCTAAGTGTGTAGGCTTCGAAATTGGATACCCACGACAGCACAAAATGTTAAGTTCAAAAATATGAATCGTATTCTGGAATAAGACTCCAGAACCTTTGGGTAAAGCATGCGGGCGTGAATGTGAGCAGCGTTGGAAAAGTTCACGAGTAATAGTGAGTTTTGGTGAACTATTGAGAATTTATCGAGCTTTAGATGCTCGATGCTCACCGTCCCAAATTTAAATCCTATCTTCACTTCGATGCATGGTATTCTTCTTTCGTACGAATAATAGCATAGTGTAGGTGTTCCGCATCCCAGTCATATAGTTTGGATCCATTTGCTTGATATTGAGGAAATTGTTTGTGTGGCCTTCCAAATTTATCATCAACGGCAACCGTCGGCATTTTTCAATCGAAAACGAATCATCACTAGAGGCTACCCGTTCCAGCCGCCTTGACTACCGTATCGACATAGCGCTCTCGACCGGTCATGGTGTGGATGAACTCGATTGATGTGAGCCCCGAATAGTAGCTGTTTTTGATGAAAACATGAGCCACTGCGATTTTTGCTGTGTTTCAGAAGAGACAGACTTAGTTTAGCTAGGTTTGAAGAGATTCATGATTAAGAAAATACTTACAGAATTTTTCGAACGATCATCAAAACCAGTGGGTAGCCGTTTGTCGTTTTCAAATTATTGATTAAAACGTTGTTTACCAGTATGGAAACAAACTCTCTCACTAGCAGTAAAGTAAACAAAGGATTACAACGAGCAATGAACAAAGTGAGCGTTAACGTGCCGAACAGTGTGGCATGTTGTGTTTCGTCACAATGTGCAGAATCCTGATGAATGAGGGCATCTTAGTAAAATACCAGTATGTAGGTAGAGAGAGAGAGAGAGAGAGAGAGAGAGAGAGAGAAAAGGATTAGTAATTTCCTTTTATTGAAACCACCTTATTTGCTTATCCTTGACTTGACAGATACACGTATTTCGTCTGCAATGTGCAGACTTCTTCAGTGTCTTGTACTAATAGTTACCAGATAAGGTAGTGGAATTAAATGGAAATTACTAATCCTTCTCTCTCTCTGTCTCTCTTCATACAATGTGCAGAGTTGATTACCCCTTGAAATCGGAGGATTCAAAAACAGTTCTAAGCTCGATTCCAAGGTAAGTTTTCAAAAAAATCCGAGAAGAGCTCCAATGAAACTCATAGGAAACGCAAGGAAATGCAGAAAGGAATTTCAGCAAATATTCTGCAGCATCGAGGTTAAGTCCGGAGTCATTAGAGATTTGGGCGTAGTTGCTTTTGTAAACAAACACTTCAATTGCCGATTTCTCTTAAATAAAAGATTAAGCTCATAAACAAACCATACCAAATGATAGAGGAATCATTCCTCTACCTGATAGTGTTATTTGTTTTAGAGATTGACCTTTTATTCGCGAGAAATTAGCGATTAACGTGTTTGTTTACAAATTTCTCTTGAATATCACACAGTTGGCCTGGTCGTTTTGATACGTGTTGCGTATCTCTGATATAATATATAATATATAAATATACATCAAATAGACAAAAAAAAAATGATGAAGAATCCATACTGGAACTGGTTGTGTTAGTGTTAAATTAGATTAGATAAGATACTCCAAATGAATGAACTGCAAAGTATATTCCAAAGGAATTTGGAGGAGAATTCATAGACATTCCTGAGTAGGTCGATTCTAAGTCAATTCGGAAGGGTATACTTCTAAGGAATTCACAAAAGGAATTTTGTGAAGAATTATGGAGAGAACTTTATGTGAATTCTTAAGAGAATTATTAAAAACTTGAAGAGAATTGAAAAACGAAATCCAACCAGATTTATAAAAACTAATCAAATATGATTGCAAATTTAGAGAAAAAAAAATCATTGCAACTGACACCTACAACATGATATAAAAGTTCTGGTTGTAAGATATTCCCGGCACAGAACAGATGGTAATTGCAATTCATAACGGGACAATCTCGCTAGATGATTTTTCAAATTTGACAACTGAGACTGAAGAAGCAATGCCAATTGAATTCGAGAAGGTTATTCGGGACTTTACTGTTCTTAAGTTTTCACATATTTGTGTTAGTATTGCAAATCTGGTCCTATGTTAAAGAGGATGTAAACCAACATTTCCACACTGGTTGTTATTGTCCCAACTTCAAGATTCCAAAAATACCATCCATTGGAGAAAAAAAATATCACGGCGTTTGACGATATATGTACTTCGAAAAAAATCCCACCCGACACCAAATGTTCCCACCATAAACCATTCCGCCGGCAAACAGACCGCACATCGACATAACAATAATCACCGCATAATGTATGCACCCCCTGTTTCCATTCTTGCGTCACACTAGTTTCCCACAAATTGTCAATTCCGGTTGACTTTCTTCAAATCAAATAACGCTTCTACAAGCGAGACTCGTACCGACTCAACCCGTCCATGTTAAAAAAAATCGAGTGTCCCCTTCACAATTCCAATGTGCTGATCACGCCATCGTAGCAAGCCGGAAAAATTCCTGATCCCCATTTCTCTCACTCTCCCACGCAACTCATCACGGCCTGCTAACCTACCACGACAACACTCCTGTCTACACGCAAAACCATTTTCACCGGAAAAAATATTATTACCCTGATACAATTCAATAAAACATGACGCTCGTGCTTGCCAAATCACCTCAGGTTTGTCGTTTTTCTACACACTTGAGCTGTGAGCTGATTGAAAACACCAGACGCCTTTCTGTTCAAGGAATTTGCTAAATAAATCATGGGACTTCACCCCTTTCAAGAGTTTTTTTTTTCTTGACATACTCTTCCTGTAAAAACACTTATCTTCCTGGGTTTGGGGGTAGTTCATTCCTTTTTTATGTCACACGCCGTACCGCACGCGACAAAAGGCATCTTCTCTTTTTCGGATTTTTTTTAGGGAAGGAAATCTGATGTAGTGATGGCATTTGAAAGGGTTACCCCTTGAGCTAAACAAATCTTTGCCGCTGCTTTTATCATCCTCCTTTGAAGGGGAACGATTTTAGAACGATTATTTGATTGACTTAATGATGATTTATAAGAAGTTTATGGTTCTTTGGCACCTTAACAGAAGTACCTTAATATAGAAATACTTAAGACGGCGGCTTTCTACCCATCGCTAGGAGATTTTACAAGATAACGATCAGCACTAACTCGTCACGTCACAGGGGAGAAAATACCTTGTTTTGACAGCTCTGTCTTATCTACCTGGCAAATCGAAAGTTGTTGACAATTACCTTGTTCCTCCTGTTTTTCGTAGGGCGGCGATTCGTCTGGTCCTCCACCGCCATAATATTGCCGATACAGCGAATGCCGGGAGCTAGCTTTGAATTTGGACATGGTGAAATCCAGCCCCTGCTGAGAATGACGATCCACGGCGTTCGACGACGACTGAGTCGTTGATGACGGCAATGGCTGATCTATTTTGGTAAATTGGACCCGATTCGACGTTTTGATGTCCGTTTTCAATGGTTGATACTGCTGATAAAAGCACTGATTGAATTGGTGGTCTAATGCCACTCCATGCACGGCACTTCGCTGGGCGACCAAAAGCGGCATAATCAGCTGAGTTGCTGCGGTGCTGTCTCGGTTTCACTTGTTCTTCCCTTCTCTAGAATTTCATTCCACTCTCTCCATCACACTGGGTAATTTTCGAATCAGCTGTTCATCTGAAATCATTGGAGAAAACAGTCAACATTATCAAATGATCTTGATTGGTACCGTCGTCATCCGCTGGTTTGGATGTAAGCTCAAAGCATCTTCTTCTTCTTCTGCTTCGCATTTCAAGCTTATTGCGTGCTCTCAACTTAGTGTGCTAGATGCACTTTCACAGTTATTAATTGAGAGCTGTCGATGCCTGCACCATTTTTGCATTGGTATAATTGTGTGGCAAGTCCAATCATACTTCTATGCCCAGGGAAGTCGAGAAATTTTCCAACCCGAAATATTCCTAGATCGGACCGGGAATCGAACCCAGCCACCTTCAGCATGGTCTTGCTTTGTAGCTGCGCCTTTACCGACTGAGCTAAGGGAGGCCCTCAAAGCATCTACTGAATGTCATTTGGAATGGTTTTGAATTTGACATACTAAATTTTTCACGTGAAGCCCAGTAGAATGTTTCCAAGTATCAAACATTGAATGTCAAAAGCATCGCAACGAGAAAACCCTCAAAAAGCCAACTTATAATTTTATAAACCATCACACAACCATATTACATCTTATTCCAGAACAGCATAATAATTACACACCCTCCCCTCTATCGTTATAATCGGTAAATCGGTAAAAAATTCCATACATTTCTCCAATTATCACCATCGATACCCTTATAATAGGATGCCTGCTTTGATGAGTAGTCATCATAAACAACAAAAAACAGAAGAAACAGTACTCGGAGGAAAGCTGTTAAATAGCTAAAACTGTTACCATGCCAGGAGCCACTCGTAGTCTCTATAATTAATTCAATTAACACCGAGAGCCCTTCCACCTTGGCCGGAAGGAAGGAAGAAAGCAACGAAATTCATCCCAAAACTTCATCCATCCGGGGCAAAGCCGCAGCGAGCAAAAACAAAAGGATAAATAAATAGGCAATAAACGCATATAAATTATGTTTCGGTTACATTTAGCCGGCTTTCTTCACCTGCCACTGGGCTCGGCAACTAACGCCCCGGCCAAGCTTTCAAGTGCAAGCTTAAACTATAAGCTAATCTCATGAATATTGTTTTCCGTTTCCCGAATATAATGAATTCATATTTTAATGAGCCATTTTTCGGGAGATGCGACCGCCCCGCCGTAAACCATACTTCTCATTAAACATCGAGAAGTGGGAGAAAAAAGTAGGCGCATACGCGCCAACCTAACCTTCAAGCTCTTCTGGTGGTATAAAGCAAGCCATGGAAACGAAGGAATTATCATACACTCAGCAGTTTTGTGTAAGCGTTATAAATTATAAAATTACCATCAATTACCGCACAAAAGAACGAACGCGTTTTGGTTGCTCTTCTGATGGGAAACGAACTGCCCGTGAGTAAAACGTAAAGGAAAATATAGGTGTGATGTTTAAGTCGGACAAACTTCCAGAATCTGTGCCAGCGGTGTAGGACCATCCATAGCAGCACTGGTGGCGATGAGAGATGATTGCTCCGCGGTGATGGAATATGGATGCTCAAAATTGAGCTCAAGCAGCGCAATAGGATTGGGGAGAGTCAAAATAAGGGATCCATTTAATTTAGTTTTAATAATACACATAAATCTGTGGAACTTTACGCAGCGGCGATGAGACGAGACAAGTTGGCAAAGTGGGCTTGCGAGAACACGACTGTATTTGAAATTAGATCCATTTCAGCGTGACGTGACAACGTTTGTACAACTTAATTCGATTTTTGGTGACAGGGTTAGTATGCATAAGTTTTCAAACAGTTTGCTCTTTTGTTAATAGCTTTGCACTCACTTGATGAAACCGACTAAAATGAGTTTCAGGCTCATAGAGGTATGTAAAAGGCAGTAGATTTGCGTAAGCTTGATAAATCATTTTGTGACCACGCACTCCGCACAAAAGTATGTTAAAAACTATGTATTAGTCACTATTATCGGTCAATTTATTTTATGTTTGCTTGATTTTCCGACTGTTAGTTGATACGAAATTGTTGGCTATGAAGTTCATTCAAAATAGCAAGAAGACTGAAATCTCTGCCGATTTTTCATACGACCGCCATGAGACAGGCATAATTGCGTCATCTGCCACTGACTTGGTTTCAGGCAAAGATGCAAATCTTTTCTATATAATATCTACGTAAAACTTAAATGTATTCATCTGACCGTTCCTACGAATTCATGTGATTTAAAGTGGTTTTTGTTTCTGATTCTGGCTTCTTCCCCAAAGGTATCCAAGTGTGCCTTGTAATTAAATTCTCATGTCATCTGATGTGTCACAAGATGTTTTTTGATTGCTGGCAAATTCTGATTAGGTAAAAAGAATCATCTGAACACTTGAGACACTTGGAAGAGAAGTTGTTTTTCAGTTAACAAGCATCCTTTTATGAGATGAAATTAATGTATGTGCAGTGGCCATGACGTGAAACCGCATTTATAAATAGTTTTAACTTTGCTATTTGTGGACCGATCTGAACTAAAATTTTAGATTTGATGATCCTAACTATTGAAAAAAAAGAGTAAAACTTTCATCCTCGGGAGCATGCCTCTCGGAGCCAATAAATTGTTATAATTGGAGTTGTTGTTGGTTTTGCGCGTGACCCGTAAACTGATGTTCGGCTTTGCCGATTTCCATCGTTCGTCAACTAAACAACACAACGTAGAACCGCATCCTGGCTAAAACATTATACGATGCACTAAGAGAATCTCAAGCATCATCTGTTAAACTTAAAACAAAAACCTCAATTTTCGTGACAAATGCTTATAAATTCTTAACTTAAACCCAATCTAAATTCTGATCACTGCTCCTTAATTAAATATTGAATTGTTGCTAAAATGCAATATATATATCAGAATTAAGTAAGACTGACAACTAAGTTACTCTTTACAGTTTCTTATATATTTTGCGTTGCTCGATGCTTATATGCTTCAAACAAATCTGAATTTACAAGATTCAATAATCCTATAAACCTTGAACGCTCACGGCCATCTTGAAACACGTCTTGATTATGTACATTTAATAATTTTGAACTGAAACGTATGGGAAAGAAGTTGTAAGACGCTTATATATATTGAAATATGTACTTAAACTTAATTTGATTGTTTCTGTGGGGCAAGCCGTACTCACAGCAAATAGTTTCGCTGCGAAAGAATTTGAGCAACGCGTAATTACTTAAAACTGATCAAAGTAGTCTCGCTTTTTTTGTAACAAATACAAACCTTTAATGAAAAATCGAAACAGACGTCATTTTATTTGAAATAATACATTGTTTACGATTGACGATATAGATTTATTGCACCGAGGACATGCTCAGCTTGTACCCGAAGATATTCATTTGCTGGCCGGTAGGGACAATCGTAGCCCTTCAAATTGACATCATGACGTTTCTGTTGCTCCTGGGATATGAGCTTCGTGGCGACGTTCCTTGTGCTTTTGGATACTGCTTCTGAGTAGTCGGAGGCGAACCAGCCTAAGGCTGAAAGCCTCCTAAATAAAGCTAAATAATAATAATACTGCTTCTGATATCAAACCCCCATTTCTTTCACATAAATTGTGAAGAATTAGAAGGAAGTCAAATTCCAATTGTTGCGATGAATTGCAGTTTATGAGCCATTGATGTTTGCGTATGGACACTATCCGCTCTTGAACTAAAACTCAGTGTATACCAATAGGAATATCGGAGAATACCAGAACAACTAAGTGACAAACTTTTCTTGTCAGATTCTTGGTGGACTCAATTCCGCATGCTACTCATAAGAATTGAGCAAAGTGTTCCTCCCAACACTGCTAAATGCTCAGAGAATCAGAAACAAACGGTGCCACAAACCACAATATTACAACAGTACAGCTCAGTGACGGTATCCGTTGGTCGTCTTGAATCATCGTAACCATCCATACATTCTGTAACACCGATGTCCTGAACAGAATTAAATAATCCGGCAAATTCCTTAGCAGCACCACAAGTATCACATCCAGAAGAACTCAAGGAACAGTTTTCAGTTGCTTATGAAATTACTGTTAAAATATGACATATTTCTAGTTAAAAATCGGGTTGCTGTGTATATTGGATGTTGATCAACGCGAGTTACTCAGAGTTGCTCACAGTTACTCAGAGTTACTCAAAATTAACTCTGATTTTAACATGATCAAAAGCTGTCTTGTCCCTTGCTGTGGGGGTTAAAAAGTCGAAATCTACCAATGTACTTTCATAAAATATGTTTGAAAACTTTTAGTATTTGACATTAACAAAATTGACACCGTCTTCAACCAGAGGTTGCGCACAGACTGAAATCTAAACACTAGATAACGGACAACACACAACACCCAGTAGACGACTAGGGAAATTTCCTATTTAGCAAAGTTCCCCCGGCTGGAGCGAGAATCGAATTCTCAATTCCTATCACGCACAATACACCTGAACGACGGGTGACAGCGCTAACAGTTATTCAGTATGTAAACGTTCTACATAGGCCATACTGCGTATATTGAGTAGTTCTAAAAGCTTTATTTGAGCTGTGCGTGTGTTCGAACCTAACGTTTGTTTTTATCCATGAAGTTTTTTTTTATCTATAATCGGTTGCTGATCTGGCCATAACCAGACCAAGGAGACAACTCTAGGGGCATCCCACTCTAAACTTTGTTTTTCTCGCATTATACTCAGAAAGTTCTTACTGATATCTAAGATACCTGAAAATACTTAAAAATACTTAAGAAATATTTAGCTCTAGTTTGTTACTACCGTTGCTAGACAGATTTCATTGTTTATTCACCCGGTGTCATCTGGGATTTTGTGTGTGCCTATTTAGAAATTCAAATATTATTTTTAAATTTATTCCTTTTGTGTAGGAATGGAAGAGGAGACCGTTTTGATTCAAGGAATATTAAATTTTCAAACTATTAACCTGTCATTCAAAGGAAGAATAAGGAGCTATTTGGAAAGTTATTGTAGAAGAAAGAGCATTTGAAAGCAAACCCTCGAAACAAATCAGTCCCAACATTTCAAAGGGGCGTAATTGCTTT